CATTGCTACGACACCTAATGGTCCACAGCTCAATGAGCGCCAGCATATGCACATGCCAATACGTATATGCGAGGGGGTGAAAACAATCTGAATAATCATGTTGGTTTTTAAGTGGCGAAAAAAACTGCGAGGAAATTCATGGTACAAATCCACTACTTCGGGGATTGTTCATGTGTTCCTGACCAGTTTGCCAAAGTTGCTACTTAGATTAAAATAAAATCTGGATACTCTCTCTTTAAACTATAAGTTGTATTTTAACATTTTCTGCATATGCTCTGGTTGTTTTGGCAAAAAATAAAACAACTCACGAATTAGTTTAAAAATTATGTTATAAACCCGGACCAAGTGATCTAAAGAGCATTGTTTTCTTCAGTTGTTACCTCCGTGTAAATATGCCTTTTTTATTGAGAAACAAAAAAAAAATGAGTTTGGAATTGGAAATCCCATCTGGCGTTCTAAGCATGTCAGTGTCAATACAAGTAGATTGTATCTTGTATAGATGTTTGGTGGCGTTCCCGGGTGCTCAGCAGTCACTGACTAGCATGTGTGCCATCATTGTATCAGACAACATGTATGCAGCATCCCTGAGATGCAAAGGTAGAAAAAGAACACCTCCCTTGAGGATAAAGTTTAAAATGCAACAGCCACCATTTGTAGTCTTTTGAGAGATGTAATATTTCCACACTGAATGTTGCATGCATCAATGGTGGTTGGTTAATCTTTCTCCTTTTCTTTTCTTTTTCACTTGAATGAATAAATTGATTCCTCTTTGATTTTTGCCTTCCAGTCCTCCAAGAATAAAACTATAAAACTAGTTCTAAGAGTTGTACAAAATGAAACAAAAAGTAAAATAGTATGACAAATTGTATAAAGAAGAAAAAAATGCTTGTAAATCAGTCTTGATTTTCACTGTATGTATAAAATCCATGTCATGGTTTTGTGATTGTATACAGGACGTATCTTGAGAATTTATGCAAATTGTGTTGTATAAAGACTGTTAAACCCAGTCTGACTAATAAATATTTAAAATACCTAGTTTGGGTTTTTCCTATTACTTAACATTTAGGACTTTATTGCATGGATCTCTTATTCCACTGCAGTCATATTATCATTGATAGCAAATTCATACCAGGTTAAACACCTTTAATATCACACTTCTCATCAATCATGCAATTGCGCTGATTCACCAATTAATAGTCCTATTATCGTGAACCAGAAGCCTTAAAGGAGCCAAACACAAGTAAAAGGTACAAACAAAGTTTATTGATGTACCAAAAATAGCTTAGAAACACTTAACTCAGTGTAACTAGCAAGAAAGCAAAGTCTGTAGCAAACTGCTATGCAAAAAACACAACTTGAAAAATAATCCGGATTATACTGGAATATAATCTGGTATAACAGAAAGTTCAAGCAAACTGCTTCAAAATTGCAAGATAAACAAAACACAAGGTAGCAAGGTGGGAGCAAGCAAAAACGTAGTCAGAAAACAGTCCAAAGTCGAGGCATATCCAAAAGTAGAAGTTTGAGTCCAAAATGCGATGTCGTCCAAAAACAATCCGGAGTCAGCAAGGAAGTAGAAGCCAGCATTTACAGGATTCCAGTCAGCAGAAGCACGGAAACACAGCGATCTGCAGTCCCAGGACCCAAGGCAAAAGTAATGGCAGCAACAAAGTCCCAAACCCACATACAACACTTTGCCTACTGCAAAGTCCCCAAAGTTTGATACCTTCTTTTATCCTATAACTCATTATCAGATGATGAACTGCTCTCCACCCTGTCTTCATCACTCTCAGGTGCTTTAGCCTCCACAGCTGCTCGCCAACGCCCGTCCCTCCAACCTTTCCAGCGCCTATCAAGACTTAGATCACCCCATGTATTACCAGGTTGCCAGTCTCCCGAAAATCTTTCAAACTCATCACTTGTTGTGGGTTGAGTACAAATATCCCTGACTTCCTGCACACGGGTCCAGTCTAGCCCATCCTCCTCTCCGTTACCACTCTCAGTCTCATCACTCCCTGTGAACCCCATGAAGTCTTCCTCCTCAGTTGGAGCATTAAGTATTTCACGGATCCGCTTCCTTTCCTGTTCTTCATCTGACTCTTGCTCCCGAGTAGCCCGTTTTGAACCTCTACTCCCATCTCCCTCCTCCTTCATCTCAGAGTCTGTGAAACCTTGAAATGACTCAGTATGTGTAGGTGTCATGAATATCTCCCTAATTCGCTTCCTTTGCTGCTCTTGTTCCAGCACCTGAGCAGCCCTCTTTCCCCTTCTACTACTAGTTGTAGCTTGATCAGCACACTGTACTACAACACCTATGTTTGTACTTCCACACATCCTCATAATCTCACCTTCCTACACTATCCCTGTTCCTTTATTTGTTAACACAAATATAACTGTATAATATAAAGTGAAAGGGAAATTGCTAGCTTAGAATTAGCAAAAGAAAATTCAATGGCAGAAAGGAGTAGAATCCTTTTGTCACATTACTGCTGGCACAGAAACAGAAGGACCCATTGCACCAAGGTAGGTGATGGGAATATTGTGGAATTGAATGGTGTGAATGAGTCATTAGCAAGGAACAAAGTCTTCACAGTGATTAAATGAATGGCTCAATGGTATGGAATTGTAGGATTTGTCATTTGGTGTCATTACTTTTTGTCAGTGATTACAACTACCATTATTCCATGTCATTCATCCGTAGCCATTTGCTGTTGATGTTTTGAGTGTTTTTGCTGCATGGCAGAAGGTTGGACTAGGTGGCCCTTGTGATCTCTTCCAACTCTATTATTCTATGATTCTATGATAGCAGTTACAGTGGTGGTAAGCTGCATAATTCCACAGTGTAAATGCATCCTTGGTTAGTCTCAAAGGTGTTACAAGATAATTTGCATGTTGATCCAGACTAACACAGCCATGCCTTTGAGCAACACAGGAGTTATTCTATTTGTACCTCCTGCTGTAGCCATACCAGGCAATATGATGGAAGAAACACTGCCCAAAATGCTTTGTTAAGGCCAATGAGGTAGACTTTCAAAGTTTAGCCTATGGAATTTTAGTTTCAGCTTCAAAGGGCATGATGGTACCCATTCCTCTGTAGTAGGCAAATGGACTGGCAGTTGAGAAGTTATGATAAGTCTTCATAACCTCCAAAGGTTTATCTACTAGATGTGCATGAAGAGGTTTCTTAGCTATTCAAGATACCCATTGCTATGTTGATGGTTAACTTCTCTATCATCACAGTTTTCTTCTCTATCATCACAGAAGAGGCTTTTTGCCCATGCTTCTCCTGTCACTTGAATTCTTGTCACTGAGCCAACGGTTTGATTGCTCCCAATTCCTTGGACTATTGGGGAAACTATGTGGCCCATGTGGAGATGTTTTAGGGCAAACATTCTATTGCAGGTATGGGCAAACTTTCTAACTTGTGGGCTGGCTGAAGCAAGGTGGGTGGACTGGGAGGGAGGGAGTTGTCCTCAAGCCTCCTCCCTACCCTTTCCTCCCCTGCCTCTTCTCTTTTGGAGGCAGAAAGTGAAGGAAAGAGGAAATATTGGTCAGGATGAGAGGGTGGATGGGAGAGAAAAAGTATATCCATTACACCCTATATTGTCTACTTCTGATTTAGAATCCTAGAGCTGGAAGAGACCCCCAAGGGCCATCCAGTTCAAACAAGAAGGCACAATCAAAGCACTTTTGATAGATAGCCTCAGCAGGAAAGCCTCCAGAGAAGGAGACTCCACCACACTCTGAGGCAGCCTAGGCCACTCTCCAACAGCTCTTACTCTCAGGAAGTTCTTCCTAATCTTTTCAGTCAAATCTTTTTTCCCTGCCATTGCTCCCATGTGCCCTGGTCTCTAGAGCAGCAGAAAGTCCATTTTCCCCCTCCTCCTTCCTCCTCCTCCTCAATGGGACACCCTTTTAAATCTTGAAACATGGTTCTCATGTCCAGAGGCCCCCCACCAATCACTGATATATATTTTCTGTTCGTCATAAGAGTTGTGTGCCATATTTGGTTCAATTCCATCATTGGTGGAGTTCAGAATGCTCTTTGGTTGTAGGTGAACTATACATCCCAGTAACTACAACTCGCATATGTCAAGGTCTATTTCCCCCCAAGAGCGCCCTTGGGCAAAACCAACTATACTGCGAATGGTTACTTTGCATAATGGGTTGAGCCGCTCCTACTCATGTTCCCTCTAGATCTTCTTTTCTTCCAGCTAAACATTCCCCAGGAGGAAAAGAGAAAGGAAAAAATGGAAGGGTGGAGGAAGAGAAGGATAGAAAAAAGGGCGGAAGGGAATGGAGGGAAGGAAGGGAGGGGGAGGGAAGGGAGGAAGGAAAGAGAGAAGGAAGGAAAGACAAAAGGAAAGGAAGGAAGGTGAAAGAGAGAGAGGGAAGAAAGGAGGGAAGAGGGAAGGAATGATGAAAGGGTGTAAGGGAAGTAAGAAGGTAGGGAGGAAGAGGGAGTAAGGAAGAAAGGAAGGGAGGGAGAAAAGGAGGAAGGGAAGATAGAAGGAAGGAAAGGATGGTGAGAGAGAGGAGGTCCTGAGAAAAGACCCCAAAGGACCGCATCCAGCCCCTGAGCCTGAGTTTTCCCATACCTGTTCTATTGCCAAATTCATTGTATCATTCCAATAGTGACAAATATTTGATGAAAGAAATTCCTCCAAAAAGAGAAGTGGACTAGGCAGATTGGCATTAAAATTGTCCACAAAGAAAACAGATTAGAGGGTGTTTTTTTCTGGTAAATGCCCATTATTTTTTAAAAGAAAACTCAAGAACTCAAAGAAGTCTAGACCTTCCTGGAACAGGTCTGGAATAAGATGATATAAACCCGGGAAGGATTCAGATAAGACTTGGGAAAGGAGAGGATTGAGTGATGTGATTTCAAAGTTCAGTAAGACATAATTTCCCTTCAAATTACATATTCCCACAAGTCACTAAAAATATGCTTGCAGCAGATTTATTTTTTTAAATGTAATTCTGTATGGTATTGGTTTAATTTAATTTAATTTATGAGGCAATGCAGTGACACCTAGATGGAAGATAAAGAGAGAACCTTTTAATTTTTTATAAAGAGTCAAGGAATTCAAAGACCAATGAAGAGAAGGGAGCCAATGAAATTTCACATAAATTAAAGACTTGATAGGCTTTCAAGATTCCTGAAAATCCAAAGAGACAGTGATGGAAAGAGTGGAAAGTCATATACTGATGTGTATTAACCACTCACATTACTATGTATAGATATGTAGTTTTATTTCACTATAGTATCCCCACAAAAGGAACATGTTAAATAATATTCCGTGAAAATGCTTTGAAATTAAACATGACACAATAATTTTAAAACAAGGTTCTTTTCGGAATTTCTTTTGGAGGCTTTTAATATAAATCTTCATTATTGCTGCTGAGGAGAACTGGATAAGCTGTTCCTATGTACCTTCCATGGCGGTAGACAACGATCTCCAGTTCATATTCCTCTATTCTCACTCTCTGACGTGTAACTCTTTCATTTGACTGTAAAAAAATGATTGTATAAAGTGCAAATTCGAACTCAGGACTAACGCCAATGAAGTTGCTTCCCACAGGTTTTACCAGTCCCTTCCAACTGAACTGAAGACTTAACACCTGGTCATCTTCATCAGGCTGAAAAAATAACCAACAAATCATTTAAAAATCAGAGAGTGAGATTTTAAATTATGATAGATTCAGCACAATAAATACCATAAAGTGCATGGAAAATACTCAGAGTTGGCATCGTTTTTTTTGCTCAAATGCAGAAAACTTTTGCTCAAATGCAGAAAAAGATAGGATAGTTGCTAAAAGGTGACCTTACCACAACAACAAAACTATATTACATTCCAAAGACCCAATTTGCTCAATGGTAAAAGGTGCACAACTGCAAACAGATTAATAAACTGATGATGTTGTTCATTCATTCAGTCATCTCCGACTCTTCGTGACCTCATGGACCAGCCCACGCCAGAGCTCCCTGTCGGCCGTCACCATCCCCAGCTCCCTCAATGTCAGTCCAGTCACTTCAAGGATGCCATCCATCTTGCCCTTGGTCGGCCCCTCTTCCTTTTACCTTCCACTTTCCCCAGCATAATTGTCTTAATAAACTGATAAGACTAATTAAATGCAGGATGGTGTGCAATACAAGATGCATATGAACAAGGGTAAGAACACCGCAAATATATATAAGGCAAGTTTCAGCCTGTATCTAATACAGGAAGTTGTCTTATCCTGGATACCTCAGAGAGAAACTTGGCAACAGCCAAGGTCACATGGGAGAAATTATCACCCAGTAAAAGCTTCACATGAAATTGGGCTGATCTACTGGGTAAGTTTCTCAATAGTGGATAGCTGAACCTGTTTATAAAAACTGCAGGACAATAAGATATGATACATACATTCAATATCCTGGTTATTGCATGGGCAAAATCTTGCATTATTTGGTATTCCCGCAAATCTATCTCAAAGCACTTCAGATGGGAACACATTGCACCTTGCCTTAGAGAATAGGCAGTGATATTTGGCGACAGTCAAGTTCTTAAGATAATTTACTTCATGGAGAGGCCCAGCATATACTCAGGGCACTTGGGGAACAAGAAACATATGTGCAAGAACACACAGAAAGCAATGCTCCACAGTCTTTGTTTAATAGATTTAAATGTCATGTCAAATCCCAGATTAGATTAGAGGGATGAAGAAAGGCCTATAGAAGAGTGTTTTTTAGAGTTACGCTTGAACCAGTTGTTAATATATTCATCCTGGGCTAGATGGTGACTCAAACCTGAGCCCAGTCTGAAAACACTGATTTAAAGCCAATATTTGAGGGCCCAACACCAAACTCTTGTTGACAGGGTGGTTTCCCTGGATTCTAGCAGCAAAACACAGGTTGGCACACATCTGGGGAACTGGAAGAGGATCCCCAAGAACTATAAGTCTAACTTAGATGCTAAGCCACCAATCCAAATGCTGGATACATATAGCAACAGGGGGTTACCTTGAAGTAGAAAACCGGCAAGCGTTAAAAGATACAGTTCAACTTTCTCATATTGGCTTGTTTCTTAATTAGGTGTGCTTTCAAACATTCATCAGTTTATTTCTCTCAATGCAAAAGATAACAGGGAATGAGCCAAGTGAAGAACAAAATGGATGAAAGGGTTAAGAATATTTTGAACATGTATACAATCCTGCATCAGGAGTATGAATAGAGCTAATCCGTCCTGGGCCCGGTCCTGTTCAACATCTTTATTAATGACTTAGATGAAGGGCTAGAAGGCATGATCATCAAGTTTGCAGACAACACCAAATTGGGAGGGATAGCCAATACTCCAGAGGACAGGAGCAGAATTCAAAATGATCTTGACAAATTAGAGAGATGGGCCAAAACTAACAAAATGAAGTTCAACAGTGACAAATGCAAGATACTCCACTTTGGCAGAAAAAATGAAATGCAAAGATACAGAATGGGGGACGCCTGGCTCGAGAGCAGTACGTGTGAAAAGATCTTGGAGTCCTCGTGGACAACAAGTTAAACATGAGCCAACAATGTGATGCTGCAGCTAAAAAAAGCCAATGGGATTTTGGCCTGCATCAATAGGAGCATAGTGTCTAGATCTAGGGAAGTCATGCTACCCCTCTATTCTGCTTTGGTTAGACCACACCCGGAATATTGTGTCCAATTCTGGGCACCACAATTCAAGAGAGATATTGACAAGCTGGAATGTGTCCAGAGGAGGGCGACTAAAATGATCAAGGGTCTGGAGAACAAGTCCCTATGAGGAGCAGCTTAAGAAGCTGGGCATGTTTAGCCTGAAGAAGAGAAGGCTGAGAGGAGATATGATAGCCATGTATAAATATGTGAGGGGAAGTCACAGGGAGGAGGGAGCAAGCTTGTTTTCTGCTGCCCTGGAGACTAGGACACGAACAATGGCTTCAAACTACAGAAAGGAGATTCCATCTGAACATGAGGAAGAACTTCCTGACTGTGAGAGCCGTTCAGCAGTGGAACTCTCTGCCCTGGAGTGTGGTGGAGGCTCCTTCTTTGGAAGCTTTTAAACAGAGGCTGGAAGGCCATCTGTCAGGGGTGATTTGAATGCAATATTCCTGCTTCTTGGCAGGGGGTTGGACTGGATGGCCCATGAGGTCTCTTCCAACTCTTTGATTCTATGATTCTATGTTGTGCCTATGGCTTTGAGAAAATAGCTGGATTCTTGTCTGTGCTTCCACCCCCTGATCTGCACCAAACAGGAAATGTAACCTTGCAGGGGGAGAGTCACTGTGTGGTCAAAGTCATCTAATTTGAACATTAGTGACTGGCATCACCCCATAAGTCTCAGGCTGCTTATGGTGGCACCTGGCGGTATGCACACATACACCTCTTTCAGACACCTCCCTGGCATTCTCCATACAGCCCAGAATCTGTCATGTGAAACAGTTTGTTCCTTATGTTTAATACCAGGGCTGGTCTTCAGTTTCAAAAGTATAAATAAAAGGACACCATGATATAGACTTGCATGTTGACTGATTCCTTACCCTACTCTTGTTTTGCCTGGCCACGTAGCCCTTGTAGTCAATGTGCTTAAGTTTTTCTTGGAGATAAAACTGCACCCAGTTATGCAGCCCCAGGATCTCATGTCCTCGTTTAGTTTCTCCAACAAATACATGCTCAAAGCCACAGGAGTCAGGTCTATAGGGAAACAGTTTTTGAAAATATAATGTTATCAACCCACTAATAATATATTGATTGCATTCAAAGAAATCACAAACATTGGTTAAGTTCATGTCAATTGCTCTTGATAGACATTCAGACATAATGGGGACATCCAGGATGAGTGAAAAGACCAAAACGTCTCAGATTTTGTTTCTATTCCTTCCTATTTTATTTTAGAGATCCATGCACATATATTTTTTATTACACAATATTTTCTATCAGTTCCTGGTACAATCAGATATGTATGTGTGTATGTATGTATGTATGTGTGTATATATATATATATATATATATATATATATATATATATGAACTTTCCAAGTTGCTTTATGTTATCCCAAAATAAAATTGGAAAGAAAATAAACCCCAGGTTTCGGCGGTGACCAGGGGAGCATTCGCACAGTTAAAGCTTGTTGGCCAGCTGCACCCTTACCTTGGGAAGTCTGACTTGGCCACGGTAGTCCACGCTCTGGTTACATCCCGTTTAGACTACTGCAACGCTCTCTACGTGGGGTTGCCTTTGAAGACGGCTCGGAAGCTCCAACTAGTCCAACGCTCGGCAGCCATGATACTAACAGGAGCGGAGCGCAGGGAGCATACAACTCCTCTGCTGCACCAGCTCCACTGGCTGCCGATTTGCTACCGGGCTCAATTCAAAGTGCTGGCGTTGGCCTATAAAGCCCTAAACGGTTCGGGCCCAAGCTACCTATCCGAACGTATCTCTGCCTATGAACCCACCAGGACTCTAAGATCTTCTGGGGAGGCCCTGCTCTCGATCCCGCCTGCATCACAAGCACGGCTGGCGGGGACGAGGGACAGGGCCTTCTCTGTGGTGGCCCCTCGGCTGTGGAACGCCCTTCCCATGGACATTAGATCAGCCTTCGTTAATGGTGTTTCGAAGAAAACTAAAAACCTGGCTGTTTGAACAGGCATTCGGATAAATAGTGCAATGAATACGATGAATATAGGAACGGAATTATGGATGACGAATTGGATCACGATTCTAGTTACGAGACGTTAATGTGTTGTTATTGATGTGTCATTACTTTGTATACTATGCTGTTAATGGTTTTTAAATTGTATGTTGTTATGATTGACTTTTTGCTCTTGTTGTGAACCGTGTTGAGTCGCCTACGGGCTGAGAAACTGCGGTATACAAGCAAAGTAAATAAATAAATAAATAAACATCTGGGACTTCTCAATCAGCCTAGATGCAGTCAATGAAAATACCTCAAGCAACTTTAAAGAAGATTATTGGAGATAAGATTGCCAGCTCAGGATTATCTTGAGTCTCAAGAATACAGGGCAAAAACCTAAAACATATGGTTGCTTCCAGGTGATGCCAAAAAGAAAAATGGATTCCCCTAAAACTGTGGAGACCAAAATCCACTGATTGTGGTAATGTGAAAATAACTAAATTGACTCAATGTATATATTACAAATACACATATCAAAAAAACTGCCACATTCACATTAAGTAGAAACAACTGGTTCTTCTCTTGAAGTATAAAACAAAGTATTTGTGTGAGTAAATGTCCTGTTCTTTATTACATATGAATAGACTCCAGTAGTCACATGAATTGAGTCCAACCAGCAACAGGTCTCGACTCACAAGAGCCTTCATCAGGCGATTGAGTCTACAAACAAACACATATCATGAATACACACATACAATTTAACAATTTGTTATATCAAGTTTGTAAGAATATATGCAGACATACTACTTACTCAAATTATATTTAAAAAAGCTCAACTTTTGAGGTGAGAAATTCACCAACAGTCTTCTGGAGGGGTGGATCCTAAGGAGACATCACCTGTCCCTGCTCACTTATTTACATTGGTCAAACAAGCAGAGTAGTCAGGCTCAGGATCACTGAGCACAAAAGTAAAATCAGGAAACATTCTACTGATTCTATTCTGTATAAGCATTTTGTGGACCTGAACCACAGCCCTGAATCATTTCAAGTACAAATTCTGGAGGTGGTTACTCCACCCAGAGACACAGACTTCCAAACTAAACTTTTACAACGGGAATCCTTCTGGATCTTTACCCTGCAAACAGAACGTCCAAAAGGGTTAAACAACACCAATTCATATGACTGTTTTTTATAACAGAGTAGGTTTTACCCCAGTGTATTCTAAACTGATAATGATGTCACTATCACCTGACCAATGGACTTGCTATATTAGTAATCGGTTGAGTTTGTTGTATTGTCGAAGGCTTTCATGGCCGGAATCACTGGGTTGTTGTAGGTTTTTCCAGGCTATATGGCCATGTTCTGGAGGCAATTTTTCTCCTGATGTTTCACCTACATCTATGGGTTGAGTTATTTTGATCCTATACTCGCCACAAAATAAAACTCCTTGCAGAGTATGTTGCTCAACAAAGACTAGCTGTGAGTATTATATTATTTTTGTTTCATAGATATTATATTTCTCTATGTATGGTTTATAATTCATGTTACAATGGAGCCTTTAGCCACTATCTATGTCCCCTTAGGATCCACCCCTCCAGAAGATACTTGGTGAATTTCTCACCTCAAAAGTTGAGCGTTTTGTGATAATTTGAGTAAGTAGAGTGTCTGTATATATTCTTACAAATTTGATATAACAAATTGTTCAATTGTATGTGTGTATTCATGATATGTGTTGTTTGTAGACCCAACCGCATGACAGAAGGCTCTTGTGAGTCGAAACCGGTTGCTGGTTGGCGTCAATTCATGTGACTACTGGAGTCTAGGTAGGTAGGTAGTCCCCTGACATTAAGTCCAGTCATGTCTGACTCTGGGGTGTGGTGCTCATCTCCATTTCTAAGCCGAAGAGCCTGCGTTGTCCGTAGACACCTCCAAGGTCATATGGCCGGCATGACTGCATGGAGCGCCGTTACTGGAGTCTACTCATATGTAATAAAGAACAGGACATTTACTCACACATGAAATCTTTGTTTTATATTTCAAGAGAAGAACCAGTTGTTTCTACTTAATGTGAATGTGGCAGTCCTGTTTTTTTATATGTGTATTTGTAATATATACATTGAGTTAATTTAGCTTTTATTATTTATTTATTTATTTATTTATTTACTTTGCTTATATACCGCTGTTCTCAGCCCGGGGGCGACTCACAGCGGTGTACAACATAGAAGAACAAGGTTCAAAATTCAAGACACAATATAAAATAATCCACAATCCAGCATTAACAAAAACATCATCATCAAAAAACATCATCATTACTACGAAAACCATTCAGTGTCGTCTCATCGTCCAAACCACAATCCAGTATCATTTTCCGTTGTTCCATTCCTATAGTCATTACCAATCATTGCACTTCTTGTTCGAACGCCTTCTTGAACAACCAAGTCTTTAATTTCCTGCGGAATATCATCAGGGAAGGGGCCAGTCTGATGTCCACGGGAAGGGTGTTCCACAGCCGAGGGGCCACCACAGAGAAGGCCCTGTCCCTCGTCCCCGCCAGCCGTGCTTGTGATGCAGGCGGGATCGAGAGCAGGGCCTCCCCAGAAGATCTTAGAGTCCTGGTGGGTTCATAGGCAGAGATACGTTCGGATAGGTAGCTTGGGCCAGAACCGTTTAGGGCTTTAAGGCTAAAGCCAGCACTTTGAATTGTGTCCGGTAGCAAATAGGCAGCCAGTGGAGCTGGCGCAGCAGAGGAGTTGTATGCTCCCCGAGTGCCGCTCCTGTTAGCATCCTGGCTGCCGATCGTTGGACCATTTGAAGCTTCTGAGCAGTCTTCAGAGGCAACCCCACATAGAGAGCGTTGCAGTAGTCTAAACGGGATGTAACCAGAGCGTGGACTACCGTGGCCAAGTCAGACTTCCCAAGGTACGGGCGCAGCTGGCGCATGAGCCTAAGCTGTGCAAATGCTCCCCTGGTCACCGCCGAGACCTGGGGCTCCAGGCTCAGCGATGTGTCCAGGATCACACCCAAGCTGCGAACCACAATCAGTGGATTTTGGTCTCCACTGCTTCCAGGTGATGTCAAAGGAAGTGGACCCCAGTGATGTCATTAAAATCAACCACAGTTGCACAGATTATGCAATTCAGATATGAAAGCACCAAGTCTAATCATTAAGGAAAGTGTGTGAGAGGAATATGTGAGAGGAATATATAAAGCTTCCAAAGAAGGAGCTTCTACCATACTCCGGGGCAGAGAGTTCCACTGCTGAACGGCTCTCACAGTCAGGAAGTTCTTCCTCATGTTCAGATGGAATCTCCTCTCTTGTAGTTTGAAGCCATTGTTCCGCGTCCTAGTCTCCAAGGAAGCAGAAAACAAGCTTGCTCCCTCCTCCCTGTGGCTTCCTCTCATATATCTTTCAGTCACTTCTCTCTCACTTAAATTCCTCCCAGTCACATTCAGAACCAGAGAGAGTTAGGTGCAGAGACTTAGGGTCAAGCACTGAGACTTGGCAATTTTAGGTAACACATTTTGTAATTCCCTGGATAATTTGTTGTACCGTTCAATTGCATCAGGAAAGTATCCTCAGGTTCACACTTTCCTGGTCTCACTGTGGGCAATGCACAACTACAGATAACAGCAACACTATTGAAATGAAAATTTCTGCCAGAAATATATTATAGAATTCTAACTAAAGGAGGACAATTGTGATGCAGGACTTAGATAATTCATAAAGAGAACATTTTTTTTCATACATGAATCAGTCAAACCACAATTACTGGTTACGTCCTATCTTACTCTTTCCTTCCTCTACATATATATGTGTGCATAACAATTTTAAATTGTATGCTTTTGGGAAGGCCTTCTGGTTTTCTTTCTTTTCTTTTTTTTAACTAATAATGTGCCATTTATACGAATCATGCTATATAAATAAATAACAAAGACATACAGTTTACATGCATTACATATTTCAAATTAACATATAGCCTTTTTTTAAAAAAAATTACCCTTTTCCCCTTTCCCTGCTGTAAAGGTGAAACCAAATATCATAGAGCTGAGACTTGAAATGCTTAAGATCTGGTTTGGTCCAGTTTTTTCCAACTAAGTATTGATGAGCAATCTAGAAAAGATGAAATAAAAATAATTTTTGTTCACAGTTTTAAATCTATCAAAGACATCACAAATCTAAAAAAGGAGTTACATGGGTGGTTCTTCATAAAACTTTAGGAATTTCATTGTTGCTGGCAAGAACGTCATTTTCTCCTCACTACATTAAAACCATCAGCACTTGATAACATTTCTGCATAGAAAATAAGTTTCTTGCCCAGGAAACTGAATTATCTATGCAACAATACCATTTTCTACAGAAATACAATTTTCCACAGAAATGTTTTTATATGGAAAATGCTATTTTCAGCGCAGGAAGCTTGTTTTCTGCACAGAAAATTCAATTTTCAATGAGAAAAACCTGTTTTTCATTAATACAATTCTATTTCTGTGTTTTAAAAATGTATTTTTCTCTCAAAATAAGTCTCAAATTATCTATAGTTTGGGTTGTTGTAGGTTTTTTCGGGCTGTATGGCCATGGTCTAGAAGCATTAGACCATGGCCATACAGCCCGAAAAAACCTACAACAACCCAGTGATTCCGGCCATGAAAGTTTTCGACAATATATCTATAGTTTCCTGACAAGTTGTTGGGTTTTTTTGGGGAGGCAGGGCAGGTATCTTTCAAATGTTTTCATGTGTTCTTTTTGTTCCTACTCACTTTCATCACTTTGGTTTCTAAAACTGCATCAAGAAAACTATTATTTTCTGCTATTTCCTCTGAAGTGACCATCTCCGCCATGCCAGTTGATGTCTCATAATTATCCAACAGTGAAACAAAGGCTGTAAAAAAAGATAAAAATTAAATATACTCATCAGGCAGAAGAAAAGGTGGAATAGTTTACTTTCCTTACTAAGTAGATACAATATTGGACTCAGCTTCAAAGTTGAATGTCTCCTCTTTCAGTTGTTTATTTCAACCTGATGAAGATGATGATGAAAGGGGTATGGCTACTACTTGTGCGCTGATTCAAACTAGATAAGAAACCCATGAAATAGGCTTCTCTTTTCTGATAGTCCTTTCTCCTGCTCCCAGCTCCTTTCCTTAAAAAGTAGGGTGCACAGGATTGGCTATATTGCTTTTATGGGATAAGTTTGGAGGACTTAACTGTTCATTTTCAGAGGGCTTTTCAAGTTAGCCTACAGGGGGAAAAATCAAATTTCAAATTAGGGGGCTTTTAGTCCACAGTGCTAATATACCCATTATATATCCATTATCCAAATTTCCATGCCTCACAGCACATCCAGACATGTGGAAAAATTGAGCGGAAGCAGGCTAAAATAACCCACTTCTGCTTGGTTGGGTGTCCCCAAACCCTGAGCTTTCCCTTGGGAGATAGCTGCATTGCATTCAGGATCAAATAAACGTTGACCTGGGATGCAAGCCAGTCCCCCTCCAGCCCCCAGTTTACCCCCATAAACTTACTAAAAGATGGCCTGGCAGCAAGGGAGCTGTCCTCCTTGAATGGAGGAAATTGCGTTTCAGGAGATAGAAGGCACCCAGGAGCCCAAAAGTCCAAGATGACTGTGTAGATTGACCTCCAAGATGGTGTGACACAGTCCCAAGAGTTAATCCACACAGGATCAACAGCTGGTAAGATTTGGACCTTAACTTACGAGATGTTTAATTAATGGTTTACTCTCCATTAATTTAATTTTGCCAGCGGCAGCATTTGGATGCCTCTAGTAAAAGTGAGACAAGACTCACATTAAAGGTCTGTCTGGGAGGGCCCTTAGACAAAACAAATCTACTTTCCCATAACAGGCTGATCTCTTCCTTAGCCCATGTTTACTTACAAAAAAAAGCCAACCTTTCATCTTAAAAAGGATTATTCCTATATAACCGGTGTTAAGAATTAACTAATTTAGTATGCCTATATATTTCCTAATTATATTTCCATATCCTCTCTTTTCTAGCTCCTCTAATCTACAGCCATTTTAAAACCTTCTTTCTTCCTTTTCCTCCTCCTTCTCCTTCATTCTAGATTGAGGTTACTGTATATACTCAAGTATAAGCCTAGTTTTTCAGTCCTTTTTTTAGGCTGAAAATGTCTCCCCTGGCTTATACTCGAGTCAAGGTTATTTATTATTTTATTTTGTTGTTGTTGTTGTTGTTGTTGTTGTTGTTGTTGTTGTTGTTGTTTTACTTTATTATTATTGTTATTACATTTATTATTTTACTCTATTATTGTTATTGTTACATTTATTATTTTACTCTATTATTATTACTATTATTATTATTTTACTCTATTTATTATTATTGGAAGGATACGTAAGCATATTTACATTGAAGAAGGTTAGAATAATGGTTGAATCAGAGTTGGACAGTCTTATGTTGAATTACAGTTTTATGTAAATATTCATAAACATTTAACCAACTGATTCCTCAATTAATGTATTTTATTGGTATCTATTTTTATTTTGAAATTGACCCATAAATGCTGCATTTCCCACCCGTGGCTTATATTCAAGTCAATCCATTTCCCCAGTTTTTTGTGATAAAATTAGGTGCCTCGTCTTATTTTCGGATTGGCTTATACTCGAGTATATACGGTAATTATGATAATTTTTTTTGTATGTAAAACTTTTTTTACATTCTTTACAAAGAAAACTAATGGCACTTCTATCCTGGCACAAAATGTGGCTCATTGTGGCCACATATGGGTGGTATACTCCACAGCAACAGAAAGAAATACCTTCTTACTTGCTGGAGGCTGTCCACATTTGCTGGCAGTGCGGATGCCACCTAAGCTTACATCTCTTCTGTGCTAGGCCCTTAGGTTAGGCACAGAACTAGTTGTGATTCAGCTTCTGTCTGAGAAATCCACTGCTATCACTCTCCTGTCCCAGGACATGAGTGAAATGCACTTGATATGTGGAGGAAGGGGAAGCTTATTATTGAATTGGTCTTTGTTTTGAATCTCTGTCCAGATACTTGCCAATACAATGAGAGGAAAAAGTCAATCATCTCAAGTAAATAAATATAAAATCAATCAATATTAACACTGAAAAACAGAACAAATCCCTATCACTCCTTTGAATGTAATGGGACGTGTGTTTTAATTTGGCTCATCTGACAACTCCGCTCAGCTGGATCTACACTGCCAAATAATACAGTTTGAATTGCATTATATGAATAGTGTAGACTCATATATTGCAGTTTGAACTGCACTGAACCACATCATGTGGGTCTACATTGAACATATAATGCATTCAAACTGAATTATTTAACAGTGTAGCTCCAGCCTTGGGCTCTAGATAAGAAAACTCCATATTTCAAGGAGATTCTCCTATGTATGGCTATAGAAAGAGATTTTATTCTGCTAAAAGGAAACTATATATTTGAAATGTTCCCAATGTTAAGCATCTTTTTGGTGTTTTTGCAACTTTCTATGACGTTTTTCCCTCTCAAAAATGAAAAGGAGATGTGGAAAACAACATCTTGCTGCTTAGAATCAAACACTAAGCTAACTTGAAACCACAGATATGCTTCATAAGAGGAAAATCCCGTAATTCTTTTCCTACAAGAAGAAATTTCATCTCCGCACAAAATTAACTATTAACTATTAATACATCAACAATTTTCCTCAGCCTTCACCCTGGGACAAATTTATATAGCAACCTTATCTTGGATATCTAGCACTTTAATACTGTCATGGTTACCCCCAAAGAATATTAGGAGGTGTGGTTTGGCAAAGAGCTAAGTAGGAAAGTAATTCTTCCCTGATTTCATTCTTGTAGGAAGAAAGCAATAAGTAATCCTGGCAACTTGCTTCCTGATGCAGTATTTGAACACAGATCAGTTTTTACAACCCAGAACTTATCCCATGCAACATTTGCTTGTTGCTTTTTGGGCAGGAAATAACATGGAAATGCTGTACAGGTCTTATTATACGGGGAATTTACTCCCTTTTTTTGCACAGGAAACACAATTTTCTGGAATGGGAAACAGAGTATCATGCAGCATATTTTAGTGAAAATTTCTATACAGCAATATATAGAAAATGCTGCTGTTCTACAGAAAATTTCAATTTCTGTGCAAAAACAAGACCTTGCAAAATTTTTGCAGAATAAGTTGGAACTACAGTGGCTTCTCGCTCCTTCCCAGTCTGCTTATCGTGAACTTTCTGTTTTGTGGGGTTTTTTTTTTTAAAAAGTATTTCACCCTCCTTAATATTATTATTATTATTATTATTATTATTATTATTATTATTTGGAAGTTTTCTATACCGGCCTTCTCAACCTCGACGAGGGACTCAGGTCGGTTTACAGCATATATAAAGTACAATCATATAAAAGAACAACAAGTGCAAATCATTACATATTAAAATAGTACAATACAGTACAATAAAAACATCATCATTACAGTTTCCTAAGCCAAATCGTCAATCCAGTCATAGTCATAGTCATGCTCGTAGTCACAGTTCATCATAATTCATCACAGGGAAAGGTTCTAGGTTCAGTCCTCGAATGCCACATTCCAGAGCCTGGTTTTTAGTCATTTCCTGAATGTCAGGAGGGAGGGGGCAGATCTGACCTCTAGTGGGAGGGAGTTCCAAAGCCGGGGAGCCACCACCAAGAAGGCCCTGTCTCTCGTCCCCACCAGCCGCGATTGCGAAGGTGGTGGGACCGAGAGCAGCCCCCCCCATCCTCCTCCTCTTCATCGCCTGGGGCCTCTTGCTGCTGCTTGGGCCCCATGCGGCATCCCAGCAAGACGCCCCAGGTGGCAAAGAGGAGGAGGAGGAGGAGGAGGAGGAAGGTAAGGAGGGTGAGGGGGGAGAAGAGCGCCCCCTCACCCTCCTTACTTTTTTCTTGCTCCTCCTCATCACCACATGTGGCATCTTGCTACCGCTTGGGCCCCGCAACTGAGAAGGCATCACAGGGCCCAAGCGGTGGCAAGAGGTCCCATGCGGTGATGAGGAGGAGAAAGAGGAAGGTAAGGCCCCGCAACTGAGAAGGCATCACAGGGCCCAAGCGGTGGCAAGAGGTCCCATGCGGTGATGAGGAGGAGAAAGAGGAAGGTAAGGAGAGTGATGAGGGAAGATGAGACGGCATCCCTATATCACAGAATTTCACTGTGGTCTAGGAACGTAACACCTGTGATAAGTGAGGGACTACTGTATAAAGATTTTTATCAGTCCAGAATTTCCCCCATTGCTAAAGCTAATACCATCTGCCTCCTCCCCCTACCCCCATAGTTGCAGTTTTCACTTTTGCCAATTTGATTAAAAAGTTCTTTCTATGAATCTCTTGATCCTTCAGTGCAATTCTATGGTCAACTTCTGCTGGAAATTAACAATTATACTGGAAGGTGGGGGGGGGGGTTAGTGACTCTTCAAGAGGCATTGTTCCAGGTTAAAAATAGTTTTGGCTTTTGTTTTTGTTTTTTTGGTTTATGGGTTTTTTGCTTTTGTGGGGGTCTGCACTTGTAACCCCAGTAAATATGGAAGGGTTGCTGTACTAATAAGAGATAGTATTAGATCTTCCCTCCTGATAATACAAAAAAAACCCCAAATAAATATGTCCCTCTTAGAAAGAAAAATAGTATGAAGGAGGTAACCTTACTTGAATAGGTTTTTGTGTTCTTCAGCCGTTGTTCATTTACATTGCAAAACAGAGGTTCGGACGCACTGTCTCTGGCAATGTTACTTCCCTGCTGAACAAAGCCAGCTTTCCCCTAGTAAAAAAAACATAGAGTTCTTACAAATGTAGAATTGGCTGCCTGTATACAATGTTGGAATCTGATGCAAGGGAATTTGATTCTAGAAAAGCAAATATCTGGGTAGGGGGTTTTAATTTAAACCAAATTTAGCACAATTATTCTGACTATAATTTAATATTATGTGAGGGCAGGCAAACTGGCACCCTCCAGACGTTTTGGGTGAAAAATCAAATAATACAGCACCAGCATCATCAATGGTCAGAAACTATGGACACTGTAATCTAAGACATTTGAAGGCCCTAAGGTTGTTTTCCCTTGTTGTGTTTTTTATATATTTGTAAACTTACAAAACAAATATTCTAAGTATACATTATGGCATGTGACAGCCCAAACTGTTCATGGGCAGCGATGGGATGAGTCATTAAATGAATTTATCTGAACAATATGAGACAACATATTGTAAATAAATTGCTGATATTATTCTATGAGGAAATATAAATCACATCTTATTTGGGGTAAAGGTGGGCACCACCTGGCTCAGTACCTTTTCCCAGTCAAAACCAGTAGGGGACTGTTAATAGAGCGGTCTCCTACATCAAGGTGGACATCATATGTTCCTTTGCCTGTTGTTGGACTTCAGCTCTCTGTATTTCATGCAGACTAGAACTGATAAGAGTTGCAGGCCAACAATGAGCCACACTTTGTTTTTATCCCTATATTCCCTATATATCCTTATATTTTCTTTTTGGGGACATCAAATGCATTAACAATTCTTTCCGTTATTCAATTAAAATAAACCACAATTCATTAGAAGAATTGTACCTTCCTTACCATTACACAAGTAGAAGCAAGGAAAGCTATGATCTTCAGACTCATTCTTATCACCCTAAATAGTGATTTAGTTTGATGGCCAGAAATGGCAACTGACTAGCAGACTGAATTATCAGGTCAGTTTGGTTGCTAAGGTATCTTTTCACATACAGTTTCCTGTAAATAAGCCTTCTTCAATCTAGTATCTTCCTGATAGTTTTGATTCCCAGTAGGGGTGTGCAAAATGGCAAAAATCCGTTCTGTTTTTGTTTTCATTTTAAATTTTGGGTACCTCCCCTCCCCAGTTCCAGGGAGATTAGTGGGGCATTCAAATTTGTAATTTGGAATCCAGAGTTCTGTTTCCAGTTCAGGAAGAATCTTCTCAAACATAGAATAGGGGGAGGGGAGCACCCAAAATTCGAAATAAAAACCGAACACATTTCTGCCATTACACACATCCCTAATTCCCAGCACCCTGGCTATTGGACACAGAAAATGGTAATCTTTGTTGCTGCTATGAAATACACAGTAAAAAAAATCTGCACTATTTCGGTATAGAGTTTTACAACATCTTGCATTTACACAATTGATACCTGTAAGGAAATTGTGTAGTCTTTCCCAGGCACAAAGCGGTTCACATCGGCGTCCCATAGTTCATTGAACAACTTGGAAAGTTCATGGTTCAAAGGCTCCCTAAAAATAAACATAAAGGCATGGCACATTTGTTTAAAAAATGATCAGCTGAATTATCCAAACAAATATCAGATATAGGCTTATTCAGTTTTAAAAACCTGAAGTGTGGAAGCTCCATGACTGAAGTCTAAAAATGCCGCCGCCGCTGAAAATAGAAGAGGTCCTTAGGGTTTGAGACTGAATTATTATTATTATTATTATTATTATTATTATTATTATTATTATTAATAATAATAATAATAATAATAATAATTTATACCCCACCACCATCGCACCAAGGGAACTTGGGGTGGCTTACAATGCATCAGTAAAACAACAAAGCAATAGCAATGACATGGAATTTCACAACTAAGAGTACTTACTTACTTAGGCGATCCCTTGTTGGACGAGTAAGATGGTCTTCCTTGATGACTATTCTTGTGGGTTTGTAGGTGGCTGTGGAGCCCTATTCTTGATCTGCATCTTCTCCCACAGTGAAGGCATTGGTTTCCAGGTGGAAGGCGGTCCCGGTCGGGGTTGGCTTGACACGCCTTCCTCCTGGCACGTTTCTCTCTTTCACCCTCCACTCGTGCCTCCTCAAATTCTGCAGCACTGCTGGTCACAGCTGACCTCCAGCTGGAGCACTCAAGGCCCAGGGCTTCCCAGTTCTCAGTGTCTATGCCAAAGTTTTTAAGGTTGGCTTTGAGCCCATCTTTAAATCTATTTTCCTGTCCACCAACATTTCGTTTTCCGTTCTTAAGTTCAGAGTAGAGCAACTGCTTTGGGAGACGGTGGTCAGGCATCCGGACAACGTGGCCGGTCCAGCGGAGTTGATGGCAGAGGACCATTGCTTCAATGCTGGTGGTCTTTGCTTCTTCCAGCACGCTGACGAACTAAGAGTGCCTTGACATTGTAGAAGTAATGCAGTTCACCATTTTAATTGGTCCATAGTTTGATGTTTTGAAGTCATGAGCATTACGGTTTTACAAGTCTTCACAGCCAAAGAAAGCTGGTGTGTCACCAAAATAATTCCCTAGCATTGTGCCATGACAGTTATGTGGTATCAAACATCATTGATTACTATGCCTAATGCAGAGATAGAAATCAGGAAGCTCTCCATACATAGCTGAACTACTACTCCCAGCATTCCTTACCAATAGCTACATTGAGTAGGGATTCTGGGACCTGCAGTCCAACAGCCAAGAAACAGGAACAATATGTTGTGTAATGAATTCCTGCAAAAAGCAGTGAGTCCTCATCTAAATGTGCACTGACAGAAAGCTAGAGTTTTTGTAAGCATGTTGGAAAGCCTGGGGATACAAACTGATGGAAGAAGTGGGTAAGTACACATGACAAAAATAGTGCATGAGACATTCAGATGCATTTCCAAATGTCCCCTATGAAAATGTTCAAAACCTCTCGGATATGCTCCAGAAAGACACTTTTCATCATAAGACCGTAACTTTGTAAAAAGAATGTCCTGAGGAGAGGAACATTTGTTCTTTGATCCCGAGGCTTTGTTCATGATGATAAGATGTTTATAAGTGAAGGATTTTACTTCAAAACATCACATCTAGAAAGAATATTCTTAATTTAGCTGAAACCCATTGAACTCACTGAAGGTTCAAGTTGCCAAAATTAACAACACATCACTTCCAGTATAACCAGCCCTAAATATGATTGCCAAAATTAGTTTGCCTCATTGATTTCAGCAGGCCTGTTCTGAGCATGATGATCCAAACATCTGTATGAAACACAAATAGCACAACAGATTGGCAACTCCATATTCCTTTTTTTTTTTGAGGGGGGGCATTAATTGTGAGCTGAAGCTTGGAAATTGGCACGTCCCAGAATAGCAAAATTTGGTAAGTGTGTGTCCATGTGATTAGCTTGCTTTAATTTCTTCTTTTCAGTGAAAGGAAGGAGAAATCATAGGTTGGCCATGTTGGCCATGTTCTAGAGGCATTTTCTCCTGACATTTCACCTGCATCTATGGCAAGCATCCTCAAAATGCCTCTAGAACATGGCCATATAGCCCGAAAAAACCTACAACAACCCAGTGATTCCGGACATGAAAGCCTTCGAGAATATAAGGAGAAATCCACCATTCTCATAAAGCAAGAATGGGCAACAGCTACAAGTCCAAGAACAAGTTACCAATTTAGAAGATGAACTACCACTTCTGGAGGGTTCAATGACAAGCAATTCACCATCTTTCTTGAATCAGAAAAAGCTGGTAAGGGGAGTCTGGAGGAGTCAAAAGCCACAAAGACAACCTTTGGGTGTATGAGGTGCCTTCACTTTGCCCACTACTGTTCTAGAGAAAACTCTATTTTTGTCTGGTCAAAACTGGTTAAGCAGGAAAGTCCTATTGAGCTATGTGACCATGATTTGTTACTATGTGTCTTCAATTCATGGTGACCCTAAGATGAACCTATCACAGGGTTTCCTTGGTATGCTTTGTTCAGAGATTTACTGTGAAAGTGTGACTTACCTGAGGTCATTCAGTGAGTTTCCATGACCGATTGGGGATTTGAGTCCTGGTCTCCAGAATCTTACTGCAATGCCCAAGCCATTACACATTACACAATGCTAGCTCAGTGGTCGAGAATCACCATTTTTACTATTTTTTCATAAATATGTTTCCGGTACATAATCATGTAAGCTTTCAAGGTCTTAACAGTTTGTTTACACAATATCATTTTGCCAGGAGTCAAAAATAAATAACTTCTTAAAGTATTAAGATCAAGATCCAGTATCAGGAGATACATCTCCAGCACATAGCTACAACATGGCCCTGGGTCATTTCCCCCCAAACCCAACTTTACAATGTAGAAGGCACAACTACCCCCAATGCCATTTGATTTGTTAAATTTCCATGTTGGTGGAGAAGAGAAGCAACAGAGTTTCCAGCTTTCTTCCTTTAGCTGAATGTATTATGACAGGCACTTGGAGGTCCTTAAGAATTATGTCAGTACATTAATTATGTCCAATTAATGTAATCTTATCGGTATCTAGTTTTATTTTTAAATTTACCAGTAGCTGCTGCATTTCCCACCCTCGACTATACTCGAATCAATAAGTTTTCCCAGTTTTTTGAGGTAAAATTAGATGCCTCGGCTTATATTTGGGTTGGCTTATACCCGAGTATATACGGTAGTCAGTTCTGTCCTTTGCAATATAGCAAATAGAAAGTGTCATTCATTGGAGGTTCCTCATCCAATTACCAACTGAAGCTGACACTGTTTAGTTTCCAGTATCAGATGGATAGTTAGGCCATCTAATACTTCTGGCAATCTCAGGTCTTTCTCTTAACTGATCTTACATTAGATCCTTGAGTCCACCATGAACTCTTCAGTCTGTTGATTCAGATGAAATAGTCAGATGATTCAGATGTGTTGCCAAATTCAGATGAAACAGTCAGATGATTCAGATGTATTGCCAAATGTAAGAGGTTATTTTAGATTTGAAGCAATAACCACTAGGCCTGTGCGGTTTCGTTCGTTAATTTCGTAATTCGTTAAACATTCGTTATTTTTTGCATTTATGAAACGATAAAAAAACACTTTTTTAAACCCGGAAGGGTTTAAAAATAACGAAGCGGCATCCCCCATCCTTTTAACGAGTTTCCACCCGTTTCGGAAATTGGATGGAGGATGCTGCTGGTGCCTGGGAGCCAATCCGGCGCTCCGGCGCCCCTTTCTCTTTGCCCCGCCCCTCCCCCGCGAGCGCGCTTTGCCTCCTTGCTTGCTTGCTTGGCTTGGCTTTCCCTTCCCGGCAGAAGGATGGCGAGCAGCGCAGCGACTGCTGGAGCCGCGGCTGCGGCGGCCGAGAAGGAGGCGAGCCAGCAGAGCAGCCTGGGCGCCTACTCGCCCGTGGATTACATGAGCATCACCAGCTTTCCCCGGCTGCCCGAGGAGGAGGAGGCGGCGGCGGCAGGAGGAGGAGGAGGAGGGGGCTCGGAGAGCTGCCTCCGCTCCCGCAAGGAGGAGGATGCCTTCCTCGGGGAGCAGGAGACCGGTGAGAGCGGGAAGGAGGGAAACACCCTGCTTGCCTGCCTGCCTGCCTCCATCCTCCCTCCATCCACGCATCCACGCATCCATCCTCCTCCGAGCATCTTCTCCCTTGGATCATGCCCCCTTCTTCCATGGTGCAGGCTCCCCTGCAGCCAAGGCCACCCTCCTCCTTGCCTCCCTCCCTCCTTCTCCCCTTTCCCTCCTCCCTCCCATGTCAAGCATCCTCTGATCTTCACCAAGGACTCCCAAACTCCTCCTCCTCCTCCTCTTCCTCCTCCTCCTCTAAGGGCTTTGGAGTTCAACTCCCAGTGGGGACCCCCAAAGGTCATCCAGTCCATCCCCCTTGTTTAGAAGCAAGTTGAGGGAGCCCCCTTAACGAATCGACCCCGCGGCAACAACGTAAGCTTCGGAAATGTTTTGCGCATGCGCGCGGGGGTCCGCCATCTTAACGAATCGATTCGTTAATATTTACGAAATTTTCGTAAATATTAACGGATTGTAGGGGGGAAATTATGTAATTATTTTAAATATCGAAACAAAAAAACACCCCAATTACAAATCGATTTTAGAACCAAATTTTTTCTTGATCAACCAGCCCTAATAACCACGCCTGTCGGGAAAGCTTTAGCAGGCTTACTGATATAGCAGGCCAATAAAGATGAAATAATTGTGAAATTTATAAGCCCTACCGAACATACTAACTTCCTATTCTGCTGTTGGGAGCCATAGAAGGCAGGGGAGGAAACACACTAGATCATTAACAACTCATGCTGGATGTCCTGGTCTACAGTGAGATCTCTCAGAGCTTTTTCCATGGGTCTTTATAAGAAAAACTGTACTATCTGTTCTTTTAACCTCCCTTAAATTACATCAGCTCTATGTTGGACAGGTGCACTGTTATCTAAACAACCTATACTATATAGATAACAGAGTCACTGTTTGTTTCATACCATCCAAGATCTTTGTGTTACAGGGTGACAAGCAATGTTTGATCACACTGGATAAGAGTTTGTGTCTTTCTCTGTTATGATTTGCAAATGAGGCCTCATCCTTTGTCTGTATGTTCATACTCCATGAGATCAATGGCTACTCCTGCTCCATGTATAGTAACATCTTCACTATGTATAGTAACACTTCACTATTTTATCTGAATCAACAAACTGAAGATCTTCTGGAGGGGCCCTGCTCTCTGTCCCACTACCCTCGCAATTGCGTCTGGTGGGGACGAAGGACAGGGCCTTCCTGGTGGTGGCCCCTCGGCTCTGGAACTCTCTCCCACTGGAGATTAGAACGCCCCCTTCTCTCCTGACTTTTAAAAAGCTGGTGAAAACTTGGCTCTGGAATTTAGCATTTGATGAGTGAGTCAATAACTCTTGACCACACGGATGGATGGTGATGAATTGTGATTTCATTTTGACGACTTGGCCTTATGTAATTATATGATTGCTTTTTAATGTATTTTATGTATTACTGTATTATGGGATGTGATGTTTTAAACTATTGTTTATTAATCTTTGTTGTAAACAGGCCTGAGTCCCTCTCCGGAGGTCGAGAAGACCGGTATATAAAAGTTCTAAATAAATAATAAAATAATAGCTGATGTTTGTAAGACAGCTGAAGTTTGTTCACTAGCTGATGTTTGTAAGACAACATTCCAATAGGTTTATACAACATTGCAAGTTGGACAAGTTTAAGTCTGCTAAGGTAGCATTTGGCAGGATCGCACTGCAGTTCGTACTAAGATTAAAAACCTCCCAGAAATGTAGGTTTGGGAAATTCCCATCTTGGTGGATTGCTCTTCGTGTCATCCTGACAATGAGAAGTTGGACTTTCCATGAAGGTTCATTCTGGGATGGCATGATGAGCAATGCACAGCCACTGTTGGAAATGCTGGGTTTTGTTTTGTTTTGTTTGTTTGTTTGAAAAAAAGACAGAGTAAGGAGTTGTCAATTTCTCAGTTTTAGGTTTCCAAATTAATTATATATTCTTTGTGTCTTTGTTTTTAGGCCTGATACTATTCCATTATTCAAATAGAAGCCGCAAGGAAGCAATAGACAGAGAAGGATAGTCTATTTTAGGGGGGGGGGGGGGAAAAACCTTTGATTTTATTTTCACTGGTGTCCCCCCCCCCCCCCGCACCATGTCATACGCGAGTGTTGTTTCCACAATTATGACATGGGTGGCGGGAATAGCAGCAAAACAGGAGGAAATAGTTTTACTCCTTCACCCCCCCCCCCCTCATCCCTTCATAAAATGGACTATCCTCCTTTGTCTAGAACCTCCTTTTGGTCTCTGCCCGGATAATGAAACAGTGCCATTGGCCTGCTCCTGGGGTTATATGGGGCACTATTTCAAAATATGGTATTGGATAGACTGCATCAGCTCTGCTTTCTTATATATAGTGTGTTGAATGACGGAAAAGTTTGTATTATAAATCTGTGGTAAGAAATATGCAGACTTTAAAAAAATAATGTGTCCTCTGTGTCTAAAATATTAAATTAAACATTACATTAAAATAGCTTGATTTTAATGGGTGAACCAAGTGAAGAGTGGTGTGTGTATATGGCATATGTTCTGTATCTCAAAAACTATGCCTGATAGGGGGAAACTGGTGCCATTTTTTGAATAATCAGGTCAAATATACTCAGAAACAGGTCTAACATTTAAGGCACCAAAATGTGTGTTGGCTAGTGTTATGTTATTGAATAGTTATTTGAAATTAAGTTATGTTAGGTTATGGACATAGTTGAAGGCTAGGAGAGAAACTGAAGGAGAAGGGACTAATATTAGTAACTTAAAAAGAACATTGTTCTCTGCCATTCAGGAGCAACACACAGGAAGAACTATATTATACCGTACCGTACCGTACCGTACCATACCATACCATATCATACCATATCATACTATACTATACTATACTATACTATGTTCTTTTGCTCTCCCCTAAATCACATCAGCCTTGTGTCAAACAGGTGCACTTCATAAATTACCTAAACAACCTACGCTGTGAAGACAACAGAATTATCACCTGCACTCTTTTATTGTTTGGGGTGTGTCCTGGCAAATATCTAGTCAACGCCAATTCAGAACAAACAGACTCAGTTGCCAAGGTGTAGGCCAAATGTAAATGCACAAACATTTGTTAGAGATTTACAAAGAGATTAACATAAAGGGAAAATGTACACATGACACCTAAATCTCCTTGTACATTCATCTCTTGGTGGGAGCTCACCCCGCTTCCCGGATTTGAACCACCAACATTTCAGTCAGCAAGTTCAGCAGCTCAGCAGTTTAACCTGCTGCACCACCGAGGGCTCCACTACCCACTTTTACATCTAATTAATACATTACTTTTTAATCGACACATATAAATAAAAACTTCTCACTCCCCGCATGACCCCTGAATAATGTGGAACACAAAAATACCTAATACCACTAACAGTTATTTTTCAGAACAGCATTTTGACTCCTCTGTACCACAAAGTAACTTGTGACATATTACCGCCACGTTTTGAGATTTCATTGAGTATTCAATTATGTCCTAATGCCTTAAACGATTGCCAAAGGTTTGATTAAATATCTAGAATGGCTGGTTTTTGAGGTTGCAGAACACACTAGAGCCCAATCTATGCTGTCCTATATCCCAGGATCCACTTTGAACTGGATTATTTGAGTCTACACTCCGAGATAATCTGGAATAAGCAGATAATCTGGGATCAGATCCTGGGATATAGGCAGTGTAGATCCGACCTAGGTTAATACGAGGGGTATTTTTTAAGTAAGGTCCGTTTGAACATAAGTACACAACGAAAGTTTATTTCAAAAAAGTAAATTTATTTTCAGAAAGTACATACTTCACTCTATTTTTCGACATAGTTGCCAAGTTTGTTCAAACACTTATCATACCTCTGAACCAATTTTAAAATACCCTCTTCATAAAAACTTGCCGCCACCAAAAGCCACCAAATCGTCTGTAATCAAAGAAGGGCGACCGGAGCAATCCTCATCATGGATGTTGTCACGGCCATCTTTGAATTGTCATACCCACTTATGCACTTTGCTTTCACTCATAACAGTATCACCGTACACTTCACAAATCTGTCGATGAATTTCTGCAGCAGGCAGGTTCCTTGCTGACAAAAACCGTATCACTGAGCGAACCTCACATGCGGAGGGTGAGTTGATAGTCTTAAACATTTTTAAAGCACAGAACAGAACCATACAGGTTAGCTACAGAGCGGAAACTGAGCACAGTTGTTCCCGAGGCATGCCGGTACATGACGCATGTGCTCGTTGCGGTATGCGTGCAAACTACGAGTGTCTACAACAAAACGGACCTTACTTTAAAAATACCCCTCGTATTTATCCCAGAGGGAAATTGAACTTTCTATACTGGAACAAATCATGCCACAAGTGGCAGAAGAAATTCCAAAACAAGTGACAGAAGAAGTCCTGCAGAACAACATTCTCTTCTTCGTGTTACTCAATTTCTTGTGTGTTGCAATATTTTTCCAACAGAACTGGCACGTTCATAAAAGGAAACTATACTCTAAAGTGCCTGTGAAACTCCTGTTGTGTAAATATGGGGAAAGCTTCCTTCCTCCTACTAACAAATTCACAAGAATGGTTTTGCTTTGGAAACCTCCTGCTAGACTAGGAACATTGGAAACCAGCCAATGAAATTGGCCTTAATATAACAGCTAAATTTTGCCAGCCTCAAAGTTTATTTTGCCAGCCTCAAAGTTTATATTGCAAATCCCCACTGTAGTTCTTTTAGGTGGAGTGATGATGGATGATTGGATCCTGGTTGTGACGTGTCGGTCACACAAATATACAACATTTTCTAGCATCAGTCAGATTACTCTGGCTTCAGACATATATACCAAATCTACATACACCCAACCTATAAATATCATCATGCATAACTACTTTAATGATCAGTGGATTTATTATTTAAAGTAAATAACTGCTTTAATCTCTCAAGCCAGTTCCACTGACTTCCTTAATAACTGCCACAATGAATAATGCCAATGTGTAAATAGAACCAATCTTGCCTGGATGCTGAAAAATCAGGATTTGAGTTTAACTGCATTAAATACACAGCAATTATATAAACCTTCTATTAAGTCCATACAATGCAAAGGTCAAAAATGCTTCCTCTCACTACAATTTCATTTTTCTCCATTTGTATCTGATAAGATAATTTACAGCGGCTTATTACAAGCAGAACTACCTTTTAAACTCATTTTTACAGCCGTGTTGTTGGAACAAGCAAGCAAATAACTTCAGGAAAAAAATTATATTTCAGAGAGAGTTTTTCTAGGATTAGATAAACATCCCTTGAAGTTTAACTTGTTCCTTAGGCACAAGAAAGGCAAATAAGGCAAACTTTCTCTTACCTTTCAGTCATGTTGACTAAATGGTGTTTTTTCTCCCTTCCACCTTCGTCTCTATCAAACTGACTCCCAGCAAACTGAATGTCCAACTGAACTTCTTGAAATTCCTCTTTGAGCAAGGTTGGCTTATTGCTCCACCTACAATCTAGTCACTAAAAGCTCTCTCAATGTGAAGTAGGGATGGAAGGAAGTAAAGGGAGGAAGCAGGGTAGGGCTGACAGTACTACCATTGTGCCTAGCTTCAAAACGTGTGCTTTGTCACAAGCATAGAATCATAGAATCATAGAATCAAAGAGTTGGAAGAGACCTCATGGGCCATCCAGTCCAACCCCTGCCAAGAAGCATGAATATTGCACTCAAATCACCCCTGACAAATGGCCATCCAGCCTCTGCTTAAAAGCTTCCAAAGAAGGAGCCTCCACCACACTCCGGGGCAGAGAGTTCCACTGCTGAACAGCTCTCACAGTCAGGAAGTTCTTCCTATGTTCAGATGGAATCTCCTTTCTTGTAGTTTGAAGCCATTGTTCCATGTCCTAGAGTCAGGAAGAAAACAAGCTTGCTCCCTCCTCCCTGTGGCTTCCTCTCACATATTTATACATGGCTATCATATCTCCTCTCAGCCTTCTCTTCTTCAGGCTAAACATGCCCAGCTCCTTAAGCCACTCCTCATAGGGCTTGTTCTCCAGACCCTTTATCATTTTAGTCGCTCTCCTCTGGACACATTCCAGCTTGTCAATATCTCAAAGCACCCAGTGAAGAAAGGCAAATAGCAATAACCGTCCACAGCTGGGATGGTTATTGCTGTTTGTTTGTGTTATTTTAATGACTGAAGGGAAATCGTAAGATTTTTTTTAGGAG